GGCAAAGACTCCAAGTAAAAGTGTGTCGATTCCAGGGGATTCTGGAATACTAAGAAGCACGGTTTCTGATGAATGGGTAAGTTTTTCCTCTTTACCTAAATATCAAGGAAGTAATAAAATATCATAAAGGGAGTCTACAGAATAACATTCTCTTCGAACTTTGGAGAAAAGGAGCCAAAATCTGCATTTAGTTGCTATAAAAATAAATCTGCTGAATTCTAACGGAGCTTTTGGAGCCAGAAACCAAACACAGGGGGTATCTGGGATGAGAACCAAGCCTGCTCCCAAATCCACTCAGAGTTGCAAAGCAGAAACCCTTTGTAAATGAATGGCCTTAGCTCCTGGCCTCTTCCTGCCATGCATTTACAGCAGTGGTGCTCAAACTATGGTTCTAAGATAGACCTTTGGTTTTTACTATTATTCCTTGCTTGAATTACAACAATACCTAGAGGCTTCACTTAAGAACAATTTCCTTTATGCCAAGTACTATGGAGTCTCCATCACTGGACAAACTGAACCAACATTTGTCTGAGATGGTTTAGATAGGGATGATCCTGCCCTGAACAGGGAGCTAGACTAGAAGACCTCCTGAGGCCCCTTTCAGCCCTTTTATTCTATTTCTAAGAATGGATTAGAAAGCCCAATCTTTGCTTTAAAAAGCCTAAACAATATAAAGGCACTAGAGAGTGAGTGGGCAAGAGGTGAAGTGACTTAGTCATAGTCAAATAGCAAGTCAGTAGCAGAGCCAGAAATAGAAGCCCATTTCTGTCTTTGATAGACATTTTTTTCTAATTGTAGGTGGTGAGGAGGAATCTTTCTCTGCTGCCATTCCCACCAACAGTGACATAAAGGGTGGCTACCTGCAATAGGCATCACAACAGCCTATCTACTCTCATGGCCAAGTCATTTTCAGCTCTGGTTGGGCAGGGACCAAGGGAACCAGGTCTTGACAAGCCCCTGGAAAAGCCTTGAAGCATAAGATTTAGACAAGGCAGCTGGTGTGCACACAGCACAGCCTGCCAGACCTACTGAAACCACATGAAGGAAGACTGGAGGGAGGCCAGCTGGAGGTCAGAGGAAAGGAGGAAGCTGCAGTTTGAGGGGGGTTAAAATCCAAGGACTGGCAAGGAATGCAAAGCATATAGGTTCAAAGAGGGTCCAGGGTGAAGACCAGGGACATCATCGACAGCTAACTGTACTCTGAGAGGCAGAGGCGATTGAGTTCTGCATCAGGTATGTAGCAAGGAGGGAGGAAGGAGAAGACTGTGGTAATGGGTGAGGTTGGTCCAGGTGTGGGAGCAAGGATGTGGAAGAGGAGGAGGACAAGGTCTAAATGAAGGTTGCAAAACCATCTCAGCATCAGATCAGTGTGAACAGTGATAGTAAGAAAGACAGGGACTGGAAAACCCTGGCTATTTCCCAAGTCCTAAGCTCACTTAGTGAAGACAGCCTCTCAACAATGGATAGTGAGGGGGATAAAATATGGCAAAGAGCCAACTTGAGGGTGCCTGGGACTGCTGGGGGCATGGAGGAGGATGGATGGATTCACCTTGCTCTCTTTTTCACCTTCATTTGTTCTGCCCTGTGCCCAGGACACAAGTGACCTGTAGAACAGGTTTAATTAGCAGATGTACTGTTCAAAGAGCTGCGGCAGAACCAATTTACAAATTACCATCAGTCAAATTAGAAATTCCTCCATCTCCCCATCCAGCCCCCAGAACTACTGCCAGACTCTCTGCACAACCCCAGGAGCGTGCAGCGTCCTGGGGAGACCTGCTCTGGGGATTCCTCTGTCAGGGTTGTGCTGATGAAGAGAGAAATGACTCACCCAAATAAATGAGTGAGAGCTAGAGGTACTTGGCGGCCCCTGGATTGAAGCCCCCGCCAATCAGCTTCCTCTTAATTAGCAAGACCATAGAGCTGCTTCACCCTGAACACAGCTATCTTGCTTGACAAACTTCCTTGTCCAGTGGGCTCAGCCAACAGCTTCCCTCCACACTGCCCAATTTTCCCACTGGCATTGGCTTACTTCCCCACTTGAGGCTGGAACATTGCAACAACCAATCTGGGTAAGAAATGGACTGGTCTGGATCTTTACCCAATAGTTTAAACAAGCCTTCCCACAAATTGAAATAAATTGGGTGAACTTAACTTTCACTTGACTTCTGCATTTTCACACCCTTCAGCTATTTGCAACTTTTGGCTGAAAGGGGAGGCACAGAAACACTTAGAGAGTTCTCTCTCTCTAAACTTCTGCTGGACTGGGAAGCACAGGGAATCTCATGAGAAAATCTGAGCACTTCTACCCTGATTTCCAGATTAGAGACACTAAAAAAAATGCAGAAATGCTTTGTATCCCACTAAGTCTCCAGGCTCCATGAGTTTTCTCTGTCGCTACCAATAAACCATCAGCCTCCAAACTAGAAGGCTTAAGATAGCTCTATCGTGTAGAACTAGCCGTAGACGTTCTGAGACTCATGCTCAGTAGAAGGGTCGATCACTCCTAAATCACTGGCACTTCCAAGTCACAGCTGAAGAAATCACAGGAAACACAGCTCACACCGCATTGAAGGCAAGAGAAAGTGTCAGCAGCCTATAACAGTACCTGCTTGGCTATTCACAATAGAAATGCAAGGAAAAAGGTCCTAGAGTTCCTCAGTCACTTCTGGAAACTAGTTAGCATTGCCTCAAACTTTGCAAAAGTACAGCAAGACTGAGCAGCTAATCCAGATAGATGATGGTGTCATTAGTGTAGGTGCCAGCAGCAGAAGGGTTAATACTGGTTCGGTTCAATCCCATTGCAGCCAAAGAAAACCTTTAAGAAGAGTCCTTAAGCCTGGCTGCAGCCAAACCAGCTTCCAATGTGTTTGGTCTGACTTAGGTGAACGGTGCCAAACCACGTTTAAAAAGCAAAGTAAAATCAAATACGCTTTTAGCCCGGGGACAGGCCTTTGGTCTATACCTTTTCTGCAAATGTGCTTCAGCTAGTGCTGTTCACACTATTTGTGTTTATAAAGGAAAATGACAGTGCTGAAGTCAAGAGATTTATGGGCAAGACGTCTGCATCTCTCACTTCCAAGCTAATCTCATAAATCATCATGCTGGCCTCTTCAAGGAGAGCCATTCGCTAGCCCTTCACATCAGGGCCAAAATGAGCACTGCACTGAAATAGCTACTTGCCAAAACAAGAGAGGAGTGATTTGGTTTCTTTTATTGGCAGGTCTTGTTTCCCAAACACAGGAACAGTGGAGAATAGGCCTGGCAGGGACTTCATGGGACATCACGCCCAGTCCCCCGCTATTATGAGCAGCTACATCACGTAAACCCATTTCACAAAGGCTTTTCTTTTAAAGATAGAAGGACAGGAGAATAGAGGAGTGCAAAACCTTCACTAAAATAATTGCAAAATTAGGCAATTTTTCTTCTCTTTTTCCTCTGGGCTGATTCCTTCCTTGGTCCCCACGCCCACATGGTCAGGTCAATGGCTGCAGCACCAGGGAGGAAGGAGAGGCTGAGGAAGAAGTGTTTACTCCACTGCTGCATGGGGCACTGCCCTGTGACAGATGGGACCACACTCCATATTCAAGTAAGCTAACTGGAGCAAGTGGAGGGGACCACAGATCCAGGACTACGTTGTACATACTGCCCAGCCATGGACCCGGATAAGGGTTTGCACGTGGGTAGGGAGAGACCCTCAGCTCTCTGGCTATCACAGACTCTGCTATGCCTGGTGTTTTATAGACATCGGCCACTCGCTGGGGAAGGAGTTGGGGTCTGGTCCAGTATCATTGTGGCTTTATTTTTAAGTTACTTTATTTACATTTTGGGCCGTGTGCCTCCCAGAGCCAGATGCCTCCTCCCAGCACTGTGGCTATCATATGGTCCTTCCTGAGCAGCCATTAGCTAGACAGGATGAGTTTTTTCACCTCTATAAACCCCTTCCTGTTGTTATCTCATGCTGCATTTGCTGCGTGTCCATTTCCCTGCTCTGAGCCCTCCCAGTCTGCGCAAGGCAGGCTGCGCTAGGATGCTGGGGGAACTGGATGGCTGGGATGTGCAAGGATCCGTTTTAATTATCAAGGCCTAGTGAGGATAGCAAGGTCTTCCCAGAACAAGGAGAGGAGGGCATGGTCCTAAATGGTTAGCCACCCCGGGATCCTTTAGATGGGGGAGACGTGCGAAGTGCCCGTGCACGGAGCTGAACCCCACGGTCCAAGCGTTAGGCACAAGAGCTATACGGATTAAAGCTGGCCTTCCACTGGCCATACAGTGCTCCTGCTTGATTTCTTTTTAACAGCTGAGGTTCCTCAGTCTGCTTTCTCTTTCTAGCCCTGACAGAGAGAGAAAGAGGGGGGAAAAAATGGTTTTGATAGATGGGGGAAATTAAGGCGGGCTCTTCTCCTTAGCCCCTGATTGAAGAGCTGACCAGTTATCAATTTAACACAACTGTCAAAGAGCTATTTACATGGCGTGAGAGTCTGTGTCCGATCCTACTCCCACCTCTGAATGCACACCACCCCCTCCCCATCCCCACCACACACATACCCACATTTAAAATGCATACAGCACAGTCCTTTGGTATTGCAGCAGAAAACCCCAAGAGATAAAAATTGACTGGACATCACACAGCTTTGCCAACCCCTACATATTCGGCTACGCCTGAACCCCCCATCTTTTTCACAGCACTGTCCATTAAAAGTCATCATCCTCAGTTTCCTCTAAGCCAGCCGGCTAACAGCACTGCACGTACGAGATGAAACAGGAAGCCTAACAACTTTAGCCTGCAGGGAGACCTCTAGTGTTTTTCTTACTCTATGTCCTGGCATAGCTCCTCTAAAGTACAAACACACACAGAGCTCCCATTGTTTGCAGCCCTTCACAAGCCCACTGATCCTAATATGGAATTCAGCAGGAAGCCCATGATTTCCTGACACACAGCAAGCTGGGGAAAGAAAGGAAAAACTCCATTAAAAACCTCTAGCTTTCCTCCATGTTAGAAATGCAATGGAAAATGGAGTGGATTTAAACAGGAATCCCTCTGCCCAAGCCGGAGAGGGAAAGAAGAACTTCACAGCCTCCGACTGCTGACGTTTTTCAAGTTGCAATAAAATCTCAGGGTCAGGATGAGGATTTCCTGACTCCAGCTAACAAGAGAGGACAATCCTTTTTATTTTTAATTAATATATATGTGAATATTTAATGTAGTTATCTCAATGGTTCTAATTACTGATCGGGGCACTGTTAGAGGCGGCTCTCCTAGCCTGGAAACATTAGTATGATTTCCTGAGTTTGAGAACCCCCCCCCCCTCCAAACTCAGGAACGGTCAGTACAATCACACTTCATTTTTCCTTCATGTGCACTTGGAAGTATCAGCAGCCGCAGCCGGAACGGAAGCAGCAAGAATGAACTGCAAGGAGGAAGATGAGAACTGCATGGATGGCAGCAGCGATAACAGGAAAAAGATGTTAAAGTGCGTGGTGGTCGGGGATGGTGCAGTGGGGAAAACCTGCTTGTTAATGAGTTATGCCAACGATGCCTTCCCAGAAGAGTATGTGCCTACCGTCTTTGACCACTATGCAGGTAAGAAAGCACTTTTAACAAAACATGTAATTGGGGGTAGAAAGGGCTAGGAGGGATGTGAACAGAAATGAAGGGTAGAAGAGAACAGTTCCAAGGGGACGTAGGGGTTACTTCTCATCCAGGGCTGTGGTTCAGGGCTGGAAAGTATCCAGCCAGCATAGAGGGCAGCTCATACAACTGGGGCAATGAAGGATTTGTCCAGCGGGAACTTGTTTGCTTGTTTCTAGTTTCTATTTTGTGTTTGGCAAATAAGAAGAGGTAGCACCACTGTCAGAATGAAAACCCGCTGAGCTCAAAAGACAACAGACATAGCTCAGCGTTAGCATAAATACTTGCTGGGTCCGTTCGTTTGCTAACTTCTGCATTTTGGAACTTTCCCAACCATAAATCTGACACGTGCGTTTTATCAGCTGTCTTTTTCCTTGTGGCAAATGATTCATAAGTTGAAACAGTTAAATCCTTTTTAGGAACTAATCTTTGGGAAAACCACTGAGCTCATGTCCAGTGTAACTGGAATGAAATTCACTCTGTTTCCATAGCACAAGAAATTACTTTTAGCAGCTGTATGTAATGTTGTAGTGTGACGGCAAGCAAAGCCACAGCGCTGACTGATTTTAGTGTTTTATGCTAAATGAGCTTTAGAACAAAAAACCCCAGAAACTTTACCAGCATGTAGCAAAGATCATAGGTGCTCACGCAGAGCAAAACTAACACAGATGTATTAAGAAGACCACCGACCAGGTTCAGTACTCACAGACCTCTTTTACTGTAGCAATTGTGTACGACTTTTTCAGGTGCGTCTAAAGTTAGCGCATGTATGGGGCAATAGGCTGAAAACTCATTCAAAATGTTGCTTAAACTCTCTTAACTCAAGTGTGGCTTTTCCTCATGTTTTTGTCACTGATAATGTGCTTTTTTCTGTTGGTTGTTAATATGATCCCTCAAAAGCAGATTCTATAAGCACTGCAAAACTCATCACATATCTTACAGCAGTTGACTTCTCCCCATTCTGCTTCCAGACTGAATTTGCATGGTGTGGCTTATCATAGATTTGCTGCTCTGTACTAGGAAAATTTCTGCTTTCCCCTTGGCTTTGTGTCAGGTTTAGCAGAGTATAATGGCCAAAAAAGAAAACTGTGTAATTGCTAAGACTGATGCATGGTAACATGAAGACATCTTCCCCTCATAAGAGTGAGTAGTAGCTTCATTTGTACAGGCAAACAGCAGTATGCTCTCTCTACCCCTTCCCACCACTTATTTCAAAGGATCAGTTTTAAAACGTCTTTATATAGCAAATGTGTTTACATAGCAAAAATAATAAAGATATATAAAAACAACATATATTCCCATACAAAATATTTTACAAATTCAGGTGCTGAAGAGTTACAATCCCCAGTTACTTTTTTATTGGAACTTTTAAGAGCCATAGGTACAAAGGAAAACATTATTACTAAGAAAGATAAGGAAACAAAACACTTCAGATATTAATAACCTATTCAGAGACAAATCCTCTCTGAACACAGTTGTTAAAACCTAGAGCCATTCAGAAATCAGAATGGTCATTCCATAGAAAATTCCAACATTTTAAAATTTGTTCTTACTATAAATCTCCATAAAAAGTTGAAACGTTGACTATCGAGTATATGTTGAATATACTAAAAACACCAAAACTGAACAGAAACAATAAAGTTGAAAGGAAACATTTTGACCTATTAAAACAACAGGTGGAAACAACATGCCAACCTCTGCATGTAAAAAAAAATGTTGAAATCAACACAGGGCTGCAAAATGTTTTGATTTTGACAAAAACATATTTTTCATTTAACAAAAATGCTAGCTTTATTAAAATAGTGATGCATTAGCAACATATTCTTCTCATCTCATAAGGTCATGACCAGACTGGGAGTCCCTGAATATTTACTGATTTCCTTCTTTCTTAGAGGAAAGAGCATTCAAGTAAAGGAATTCAGTTCTGATCACAGACATTGTAAAGCCGTCAACTTCAAGGACAATGTGATGCTACCCAGTGCAGAAAATCCAATCATGGAAAAATGCAGAAAATCACGGATTTTCTCCTTTAAAGGAAAACAGGGGCTGCAAGGGGCTGCTTAGGGCTAGGGGGAATGGGAAGAGGCCAGTCAGGCAGGGGGCACCATGTTCATGTGTGCACACACACACAAACACGTGGCAGCCAGGCAGCCAGCAGCTCCCACAGCCATTGGCGATGTGTAGGGGTGCACGCGGGTGCACATGCACCCCCTGAGATAAGCCATGCACCCCCTGGAAACCCAGCCACAAAACCAGAAGTGCCAGTGGAAGTGTACTTCCAGTTTCGCTGCTGGCCTGGCAATCAACTGCTGGGGAACCCCCTCGTTGGTGATCTGGTGCCCCCCCCAGACTCGGGAGGCACTAGTCGCCCATGCCCACAGCTCCCTGCAGGTAA